AGTAAGTGTGTTTTTCCAAGATGGGCACTGTTTCAAGAGGTAGGTGGCCACTCATATTCAGCTAGCTTTCTTCTCTTTTTACTCAGTCTGGGACCCCAGCCCATGAATCCTGACATTCATGTCCAGGGTTGGTTTCCCTTCCATAGTCAAACATCGGGAAACACCTTCACAGAAGGTGTACCCAGAAGTGTGTCTCCTGGGTGACTCCACGTCTAGCTGGGTTGACAATGAAGATGAACTGTGACAAAGGGGATGGATGTTCATGAGAACAGCAGCTGCTACTCGCTCTAGCCTTAAAGGAGTCAGCATGCTACAAGCCAGGGCTGAGGTCCTGGGAGCAGCTAAGTACCAACACACCTAGAGAGACCCGCCTCAGAGACCGCCTCACACCAAGCAAACCTCAACAGACAGCAAGTGTCCCGTGTGTAAATCCAAGAAAGAAAATAGTATGATATCTAAAGAGGAAGAAGAAATATAAGAAAAACAAAACATTTGCACTAATGTATTTTTTTTTAAAGATTTATTTATTTATTATGTATACAGAAGAGGGCACCAGATCTCATTACAGATGGTTGTGAGCCACCATGTGGTTGTTGGGAATTGAACTCAGGACCTCTGGAAGAACAGTCAGTGCTCTTAACCTCTGAGCCATCTCTCCAGCCCAACACTAATGTATTTTTAAAAATTAAATAAATGATAACATTTCAAAAGCACGAGTATTTATTAAGTACGTCAGACTCAGTATTACCCCCTGAGTACCTGGAAACCCAAATTAAATTCTGCAAATTGCTCCTCGAGAGTAGAATCTGAATGGAATGAGCTCATTAGTGAGTAGTAACAGTTACCATAAAGTTACCATACCCAACCCAGGCTAGTTGTAAGATATGTTCCTAGTTTCAGTGCTAGAACTCTGATGTCCTGAGAAACCCCAAGTCTTGGGCAAAGCAGGGAGACTGACCATTGGAGAGCAAGTTTTAACAGCCTCAAGTTTCTGCTAGTGTGAGGATTTATCTGGACATTTCTCCCACTGGAGCATTCTCTCTGCTGAACCAATCACAGCCCGATCCCAACTATTTCCTGGCCCTCCTTCCCGTATCTGCTGGGGCACATGTCAGGAGACGTGAGGCACAGATGCAGGTGGGTTCATCCCTTGACATGCCTTCTTTTACAGTACCTTCTTGCTCTGCAATGGGAAAGCCCAAGAGCTTGCTGCAGCTAGAGCCGGATAAGTGCCTGCGTGTATGCCAGACTCCAACTGCAACTTATTGGCCGGGCTGGCCAGCGGCATGACCACAGGATGCAGAGCAGGACAGCATGGTTCTGCAGTTTGAAGATCACAGAAGAGAGATGCTGCTTCTTTTACTTCTGGGCCCAGGGCAACAGCTCTACTAGCAAGGTAGTTAGATAGTGTGTGTGATAATTTATTCCCATTGTCAACTCCACTGGATTAAGAAATACCTAGAACTTTAGTGAGACCCACCTTTGAGTGTGTCTGTGAGGATGTTTCCAGGGATGATTAATTAACAGAGGTGTGCATATGTGTGATACCAAGCCCCAGGCTGGGGTTCCAGGCTGAACTAAAATAGAGAAAGCAGAAAGCCAGTATACCACCAGCACTCCCCATCTTCCTGATTTCCCCAGATGTGAGCAAAAAGCCTCATACTCCAGCCATGATGCCTTCCCTGCCACAATGGGCTGTTCTCCGAAACCAGGAGCCAAAACGAAACCTTTCTCCTGTAAGTTGCTTCTTTTGGGACCTTTGTCATAGCAACAAGGAAAGTAACTAACAGTGTACCTCTAGAGCTCTAAATACTTCATGACATATTAGTCCATTTTTATTACAGTAACAGAATACCCCAGACTGCTAACTATGTAAATTAAAGAAGCTTAGTTTGAATCATGTTTTTTTTCCCATGGGCAAGGGCCTGCATCTGGTGATGGTCTCCTTGTGCATAATCCCTAAAGCTGAGACAGTACAGGTTGTCACATGGTAGGAGACAAGGATGTTTCTATTATCTCTTTGCCTCTTATAAATAATAAAGCCACCTGTATTCAATCCTAGATTCTCCGCCATGATGACTTTAATATCATCTCAGTCACTTCCCCAGTGCTTGGCCTCCAAACACCACAGTCAAGTTAAATTTCCACCCTCACAATACCTCACAAGGTATTTTCAACTCATGAACTGTTGTGGAACCCATGCAAACCACATCCGAAATACAGCCTCAGAGCTGAGTTTTTCCCAGGCACTGCTCCCTGGTTTTTTTGGCATAGCCAGAGGATCCTGTCATTTACAGTGACAGTCACGACAGGAGGTGAACAGGACGCAAGAGCTGGACAGTGCTTCCTGCAGCATTTGCTGAGCTCAGATCTGAGACCTGGCTCCCAGGGAAAGA